TTGGAATTATTTTAATTGATGCATTAAAAATGTTATTACTGTTGCAAATATTCATGAGATTTATACTGGGGCACAGCTCATTTATACTGGGGCACAGCTCATTTATACTGGGGCACAGCTCATTTATAGTGGGGCACTGCTCATTTATACTGGGGCACAGCTCATTTATACTGGGGCACAGCTCATTTATACTGGGGCACAGCTCATTTATACTGGGGCACAGCTCATTGATACTGGGGCACAGCTCATTTATACTGGGGCACGTGCCCCAGTAAATGGGGTCTGGCGACGCCGATGGTTCGATGCCTCGTGAAGCCTCATCTCACCATCACTAGTTATTTCCCTGCAGCCTTTCCAGCCTGGTGGAGGAGGACAGTTTAGTCTCTGGTGTCTTTGTTTGGACAGCTCTTTGGTCTGTTAGTAGTGGGATTCTTACTGATTGTCTGAGATGAACAGGTGTCTTTATGCAGCTAACCACCTCAGACAGGTGCATCTAATTTAGGAGAATAAATGAAGGTGAACATTTTGGCTACGTTCACGCTGCAGCCTGAAGTCACCCAAATCCGATTTTTTGACCCATGTGTGACCCGGGTCTGATCTTTTCATGGCAGTCTGAACAACACAGATCCGATTTTTTCCAATGCGACCCAGGTCACTTGGCTCTGTGGTCCTGAATCCGATACGAATCCGATCTTTTCAAATCCGACCTGTGTGTGAATGGCCAGGTCGGATTCATCCACACGTGAACGGATGAATCCGACCTGAACGTCATTAATAAAGGTCACTATGCTGCGTCTTGCTACGCAGAAGCGGCAAAAAAACAACAACCATGGCGGATGATGATGCGTAGAGCAGTATTCATGTTTAAACATATTAAATAGATTGAGTTTCTATGGTTGGAAAAGATCACTAGATGCGCGCCGGCACTACCAGCCATGTTTACTTCCAGAAAAAAAGAGCAGGCCGGCCTGTGAGGTCACTGCATCCTCTACTGCGCATGCGGGACACATGCGTCGTATGACTGCAGTTCACACAGGAGATCACATACAAGTCGCATATATTTGGAAATATGAACAGCAATGCAAAAAAAAAAATCGGAATAGAGCATCAAGGCCTGCAGTGTGAACATAGCCTCTGACGGCAGACTAACAGGTCTAGCTTAGACTTAGACTAGACAACCTTTATTTTCATTTTGTAAACAAAATTTAATTTTGTTTTGTTCAGCTGATAGACGTGTTCTAATACTTATTTGCAGCTGTATCATACAAATAAATTGTTAAAAGATCGTAGAGTGTTTCTGTATGATTTCTGTATTTTATTTTAGATTATGTAATTTCAGACTCTCCATGATTTCTATGTGTTTAAATACACCCTGCTATATGTATTATATATATATA